CTACACCACTGTGAAAGAAGTTGGTTTAGAAGGGGATGTAGCTCCTCACAATGGCTGGGCAGGAACTTCCATGGGCTTTTCACGAGTTTAAAAAGACAGGATGGGGTTGTTATTAATACCGGTTTGACTAGCAGGTGGTTTCTTTGAGATGTAACCCATCAGTCTGTCAGCGTCCATCTAATGGCTCCATGTCCTAGAATCCACCCTTTGCTATGTGGAACTTTAGTCCAGTTCTTTGCATTTCCCCCTCCAAATTTCACAATTTAAAGTTCATTTTGGGTTTTTCCTCCCATTCCTGGCAAACTAAAGTTTCCCACCTCTTGAATTTGGTTGCTAAAAATATTTTGGAATATTAAGAGTGGTTTTTGTTTTGTTTTTTAATCTTTGTCTAATGCAATTAATGTCATGTCCACTAGACTTTCATTTTCCATTTTATTGTCATCCTTTATGTCTGTGTTATGTTTCTAGTTAATTGATGCTTTTGTTTCCTTGTGCCAATACTTTGTTGGGCATTCCAAAACTTTACTGTACTTTTTGTGTGCTAACATTTTTGGGTTTCTTAGAACTTCTTTCTAATGACTTTTAGAGGGTTGGTTTTACATGGTACCACTTACTGTAGCTTGAAGCTTCATTTATGTGGATTTTTAAAAATGCTGAACACATTACACATTTGCATTTAAAACATTATGGTAGATTATAATGACATCTTTAAAAATACATGCTTTCATTTGTATTCTGAAACCTGTAAATTCCTCACATCCTTTGTCTACCATGCAACTTCTGACTCTCTTAATTCTTCATCTGCTCTATGTCACGTAAGTGCTTCCTAGAAGAAAACAACATTTCAAGGTATAAATTCCATCATATTATCTATTCTAGGGACATAGGTATTTGCACAGGAGTCTTGTCTCTAACTGGAAAGATGGAAAGGATGGGAAGAAGTTCCTAACTTAGATCTCACAGGTCAAACAGCCAGACCCCACTCTTATTATATCTGGGAGGTAAAGCAGGGAGATACAAATATGCTGACCTAGGAACTTGAAATAGGTTCTTAGAATATTTTCCTTGAAACTCTGGGAAGCCAGAAACAAAATCAGAGTTTGGAAGAAAATGGTCCTCAGAATCTGGCTTCCTACTCCTCCAGTGTCCCTCTAAGTCAAGAGAACGAGGCAGCATCATTCTCCCTCCTGCTTAAAAAGATAATATTAACAGCAGCCATCTATGTGTACATTTTAATTTCATTTTTAGAGTCCATATTCCAACATGTACTTTATATGACTGCTGCATAAAGCACCAAAAGTCATCAAAACATAATATATACAGAGTTTTCAAAAATTCTTCTATATTATGTAAGAATGACAAATCATCTAATTTGACTGCCTCCCCCACTTACATCCTGAAAATAAAGCCCAAACTAAATAACATAGAATTAATCCTTTGAGCCAAAAAAGATAAAAACAAGGTTTTTTATACAAATTCCTTTAACAGGAATTGTTTTTAAAGCTAAAACAGTTAACACAAACCATTCAGGAGGGGAAAATATTTTATAATTCATCTTTTAGCCTTGATGCCTTGTAAAATGTTTCTTTTACTAATTGCTCTTAGTGGTTGTAAAATTAAATGAGCTGCCATGGGTAGTCACCTGATTTCCAGAATTGTCAGGTAGCCAGAAATAATTGGTTATGAAGCTGAGGATCATGGAAGTGCATTTTAATCAAGACTACATTTATAAGGATTTTTGCATCTTGCATGCAATTTAACCCCCTTTGCAAATGACAACTATGTAATGTATTTGGTAATATCTAGGAGGACATCAACATCCTTCATGTGGATAAGGAAAAACTAACATTCTAAGGATACCTGTAACATGACTTACCAGCTAAGAGTTGTCCCAACTCATTAGGGAATCGGGATTTACCCTTGTTATGTTTGTTCCTTGACAATGGCTTAACACAAAAACGAAGGATGTGTGCTTTCCTCTTTAGTCACTCATTCAGTAAGTATTTATTATCAACTTAATGCCAGTTCTGAAAGATAATGAACCCATAAAACACAACCTTTGTTCATTGTAAGAACTAACTCTGGCTGGGTGGTGGTGGCGTACACGTTTAATCCCAATACTTAGGAAGCAGAGGCAGGCAGCTCTCTGTGAGTTTGAGGCCAGCCTGGTCTACAGAGCGAGTTCCAGGACAGCCAGGGCTACGCAGAGAAACACTGTCTTGATAAACTAAACCAACCAAGCCGGGAAAGAACAGCTTCCACAGCTTGAACAGAAAAGATGAGAAAGAAATGGCAATATGAGAAATGGCAGAGGAAAGGTATGCTTTGCTCTCTTGTCATACCTTCTCCAAACTGAACAATTTATTTTCCAGCAACATACTGTGAACTCTACTCTCCCCATGGGAGCTTTTCTTACACAGTTAAAGTATATAGTTGTCTAACAATTTGTCCAAGTGTATCTATGGCCATTAAAGTATATAGCTGTTTAACAAACTGTATACAGTGTAGCTATACAAGTAAATCTGTTCTTTAACCACTATCAAAATATCATGGAGGGAGGTCTGGTGTCGGTGGCGCATGCCTTTAATCCCAGCCCTCGGGAGGCAGAGGCAGGTGGATCTCTGAGAGTTCGAGGCCAGCTGGGTCTATAGAGTGAGTACCAGGACAGGCTCCAAAGCAATACAGAGAAACCCTGCCTGGAAAAACTAAACTAAAACAGAACAAAACAAAGATATCATGGAGGGAAATCTTGAGCAATGTGAAGTTTATATATGGTTACTTTGTCATGAATGAATTTCATTGTGAGTCTGATTTGATTTTTGGCATGAAACAGAACCTCCGGATTTAGTTTGTAAACATATTCATGACTTTCTCAGACTAGTTGAATTCATCATGGTCTGCTAATGAGAAGGAAACACGGGATGCTAGAAAGATGGCCTAATTCTTACACTCCAGAATTTTGTCCCCCTAAAATGTGTGCTTCATTAGTCCCTGCCTAATTATCTCACTATTGGGGAAGACAGTGACTGCTGGAAAACTGTCTAAAGGTCTAACCACTAGAGGGAGAAGGTGTGCCTCTGGTGACTAGGGAACCAATGACATCAACTCATTAGCAGGATAAGTTTGGAGGGACCTAAATTAAGCAGTAGTCAGCTAAGGTAAGGGCAAGGACTTCATACCAACTATGGTAGATACTAGCTTGAGGATGAATCCCCCTGATTTCACAATGGATCTTCTTCTGCAGATGAATTCTGTTGCTCTTTAGCTATGAAGACACTGCCTTTTAGTACCGAATGTTTTCATCTTTTCTAAGGACCACTATGACTTTGCAGATACATAGAACACTGAAACCAGTTTTCAGGAGGGAAGGAATGTTCAGAGAACATCTTTCATATCTATATCCACATATATATATATATATATATGTATCTTTATAGTATGTCACCCTTTATATACTGTAGAGTCACACATTCTAATTTTCTGCCTGTTGAATTGATTAGAATGACTCCTAGGTTCTCTTTAGTTTGGCCTCTCCAAATCTTTCTTTGGAAAAAAAACATTTTATTCAGATAGTTGACAAATAGATTAAAATTTTAATATTCACAACGTCACATATATTGTGCAACCTAAAAAAAATCAGACAAAAACAAGTGATTTCTCTCCATCGAAATGGTCTATCTTTGCTTTATTCCATCATTTGCCACAACTAAAAAAGTGAACTGAGCCTACAAGCACACTTGCTTATTAACTGCAGTGCAAAGAATAAGCTTTTAAAAAGTAAAAATAAACACATTAGGCATTATTAAGGTACCCGCTGTGTACCACTGTGAATGAACCCTATGCTCACACCGAAATCCAAACACAGGGCAGAGTGCTGCTTCAGATGAAAGTTGATTTTATTTTCAATGTGTCAGATCACTTGCTTCAGCGGAAAGGGGGGAAGGGAGAAAACTCTTAGCAACTATTTCTGGGATTCTTTAAAGGAGTGGGAGGCACAGCGCCTGCTCCTCTTTCAGCATTGATTTTCTACACAATTTGCGATACGGTTTCTCAGAAATGCTGTTTGGCAGTCCTGATAATTTCATGTGTTTTCAAACTTAACCCACCCAGACTACACAGTTCAGTATTTTCAGCTCCTTTCATTTTCCTTTTCCCTTTAATTATACAAGTCTCTATTCCCTTTTCTGTGGTCTAAGAAAGATAGTAAATGCTGCTATTTGTAGACTGAACATGCATTTGTTTTTCTCAGGACGATTCCTATACTTTCCCATCCACCGCCCCCTCTCCCTTTCCCGCCCCCCAAAACGCGAACGTCGTGATTGACTTAAGCTAGGCGACACTTGCAGGCTAACAACTTTTTCGACCCTCACGGTTCCTCTGACTCGGATGGATGTGGCGCACGCCAGGACGGGGTTGGATATAAACGGCAAGTAAACACTCTAATTTTAAACTTGCACTGGAAAGCACTTTCACAATGGGGACAGTCGCTCTCCGTGTCTCCCAGCACACTCGCGAGGGCCCCTCCGCCCGGGCTCAGGGTCCCGGGTCCTCCCGGGTGCCGGGAACCAGCGTCTGCGAGGTGGCGGGCCGAAGAGAAAACTTCCCGGGGCCGACATGAGCCTGGAGAAGCCGCGATCGTCCCTCCCGCGCGACCAGCAGCGGAGAACGTGAGCGGGGAGCGGGGAGCGGGGCGGAGTCGGCGCGGGGGGCGCGCGGGGCGCGGAGGAGAAGGAGGAGGCGCGGAACCGTGCGGCACTTGTCCTGTAATCGATTGCCGAGCGCGCCGAGCGAGCGGCCGAGCGCGCAAACACGCGCACCCGCCCCTCCCGCCCGCGCTCTCGTTTGGCTTTCACGGACCCGGGCGCTCGCACACGACAACCACCCCCCCCCCCCACGTCCGCGCACGCGCGCTCCCGCCAGCCGGCGCGCGTCGCCGCTGCCGCCGCCGCCGCCGCCACCGCCGCCGCCACCGCCGCCGCCGCTGCCTGCCCTCCGCCCGCGGGCGTCTGCGCGATCCCGGCCGGCGGGGGAGATGTGCTCGGGCTCCGCCGGATCGGTTTCTCGGGGTTTGACCAGCTGTCCCGGGCTAACCCTGCTCCTCGCTGAAGATGGAGGAAGTAAAAACAGGATTACCCTTAGCTACAGATCCACTGCCTTAGTTTCCACCACCAACTGCAGTGCACAAACACACGTTAGGCACAGGAAAGAAAGAAAGAGAGAGAGGGAGAGGACACACTAACAGTAAACACAAACAAAAGGGTGATGGGATTATTTTACTGCATGCACTGCTGAGGTAAATCTCCGCTTGGCTTTTTGCGTGGGGAAGGACAGCTCTTGTTTTATTTGTCTTCTGATTCATAGATTATATATCAATTTGTGTATGCTTTGCAAAGCGGGGGGTGTTTTGAAAGTTAAGTGTAATTATATGGAATCTTGTTTAGCAGTGTGGTGTGTCGAATGACTTGTTGCTGTTAACCAGTGATAATAATAATGTAGGCGCTTTTCTTTGGGGAGGGATGGGTTGTGGCTCTGATTAGGGTAATGATTTCTGTAAAGGACGCTCAGGGAATCTGGTTGAGGATGATGTCCTTAATGTATCGTCCCCTCCTTGTAATCTGCTTCTGGGATGTTAATGGATTAATCAGTTCTCATCTCTCTAGCTGTCATGGATTTGGACTTGTTTTTTTTTTGTTTTTTGTTTTTGTTTTTGTTTTTTTTTTTGCTTTGTTTTAACTTGAATCTCAAGAAGAAAGATTGGATAGCCTGGCATAAATTGCAGCTGTCTAGATAGAAGGTATTATCCCGTTGGGATTGAAAACAAAACAAAACAAAACAAAAATAAAAAATGAACCTCGTGTGACACATGTGTAAAAGCAGCAGTTAAATCGCTTTGACAGGTTCTGGTATGGGCTAGAGAGATGGAATGAAGATTTAATTTCTTTTTCTTTTTTCTTTTTTGCCAGAGGCCACAAAACAGTCCTGTGAAGTTGGCCTAGGTTCCTTGCTGGGTTCTGACTATCCCTCCCCTCGTATCCCCCCTCCCCTTTTTTCTTTCAGTTTTCTTGTCTTAGCTTTTGGTCGATTCTTAAGGAACCGGTGGATCAAGTTTTTTCTCTTCTTGTTAATCGCATTGCTGTAGCACTGACTGACCTCTCTCTCCCTCCCTCCCTCTCTCTTTTTTTCCTCTTTCCTGAAAGTACGTGGTGCCATTCCTGAGTGACTTTTCCTACCAGACCATCCCAAAGGGACGAGGGGGCGGGGGCGGGGGAGGAGGAGGACGAGGAGGAGGAGAAGGAGGAGGAGGTTGGGGGGGAGTGTTCCTTCTCTCTCATTTCTTGGTTTTGTTTATCAGCCGATCTGTTTGCTGGATTCGGGCTTGGAATGACCCACCTGTAAAGTGCTTTCCCCTCCTCCTCGCCTTGAACTCTGCAGGGGGCTTGGCCTGGAGGGGGCCAGGGAGGGAAGGGGGGGGGGACACAAAAAACTTCTTTCTTTCTTTCTCCGTTTCTCTTCAGCCCGACATTGTCACCTCCTCTTTGAGGGGTTAGAAGAAGCTGGGATCTCCCGACAGAGCTGGAAATGGTGATGAATGTTTTTTAATCAAAGGACAATTTCTTTTGTATGTACATTTCGTTTCTCTTTCTCCTTTTTCTTTTTCTTCTCTGAGGGTTTAATAACCATTTCACTGATGGGGAAGACTTCTTTTGCTTCTAACTGACGCTTCTTTTTAGTATGTGTGTTAAATGTGTACATTTTTAAAGAGATAGACTCATCTATAAGATCTCCGTAGAAACTGCTCCCCTTTTAAACTTTACGGGATCCCTCTCTTTTAAGCCTTATGTAATCATAACTGAAAGAATTTGATAAGAGTAAAGCAGGTCGGGATTTAACTGCTATGTAGTTTACTGAGGTGAGAATTTGATCTGATTATTCCATGAAGAAAGAAAGAAAAGTTTTTTTGGGGGGGTGGGGAGGTAGGGAGGCTGGTGGTGAAGGGGGGGGGCGGGAGAAGGGAAGTGGTTTTGGAGACAAGAAGCGAAGCTGCCCGTTTTCCAGTAAGTAATGGAGAAATTCCAGGAGCCAGGGCTAAATATACTTGGCGATCAATACAGAAATGGCTCATTGTGAATAATTTAGCTGCTGGTGCTGTGAGAGTTTTGAAACTAAAGGCAAAAAGGACCAGGGCCAAAGGGAAAAAAATTAAGTAAAAAAAATCTCTTTAGGACTTGTCAATTCTTTAACTTTTCCCCTCAAAGAATACAGTTAGATTATCGATCTTTTCATTATGGAATCAAAGCTAGAGGGTGTCGTCTCTTACAGTTTACTTTTGTTTCTGGGGATTAAGTTCTGTTTTGGGCTATTGGTGCATGAAAACCATTCCCTCATACTTGGGTAGAAAATGATCCCCTCGTGCACAGCCAAAAGTTTCTGAAATGTTGGAAATCCGAATGTCTTAAGTAGGCTTGGCATTTGTCTCCAGCCATAGTCTGGCAGGAAATTAAGGGTACGTTGAACAGGTGCTTACACAGAATTTGGGGTAGGCTAAAATGTCAATACAAGCCGGAGAGTTGGCCAACTGCTGCAAAAGTCTTTGAGATACAGTCTAGCACTAAGTATTTTTGTTTTGTTTTGTTTTCTTGTGTTTGTTTGTTCTCCCCCTCCCTAGTAGAACATGATGAACCAACTTGCAACAATTGTGAATAGAGCTGTCTGTATACTAGGGAAGTCCTCAAAGGACAGTGTGATTGTGGGAAGTAATGAATGGTAAAATGCTTAGCAGTTAAAGTTGGCAAAGTCGAGGGATGACCCCCTACGCATTTTCCCCCCCATAAAACAGGTAAATTTTGATTAAGAGAGTCATTCTTTTCTTGCTACAGCCCATCTCACAGCACACTTAATCTTCCCTATCCTATCTCCAGCAGGAATCAGATCATTTGCAGAGAGTTCAGTGACTTGCAAATGAGCACGCACAGTACACTGTAGTATGTTTCTTGGGCACAGGTTGCAGGAGCAACATGGACTGACTGCTTGGGGCCTCAAATAAATTAAGAATTTAATGGCACATAAAAGGAGGAATCCTTGGGTTAAGGTCGTCATCTTTTATTTTACAGCACTGCACTTTGACTATGGAAACAGAGGCTATTGATGGCTACTTAGCATGTAAGTATTTATTTTCATGAGTTTTTGGTGGGTAATAAAGTTAACTATGTTACCTGCATCTGATTTTCTGAGCCATGAGTTATTACAAGTTCTCTAGTTTTATTTGCTAGTCACCATTTACCTTTTAATGAATGTCAGGAAGTTTTAACACAAGCAAAATAAGAAGGAGGCATAGAAATATACTCATTTAATAAAGGCCATTATTTAATAATTGTAGCTTACTGATCTTTAGTTTTCTATTTGATTCTCCATTTAATTTAAATTTAGAATACATGCGGTTTCAGATATATCTACTAGTGTGGTGGGTACTAAAGATTTACTGTGAGGTAACTTAATTTTCCAGACACATATTATGAAAGAATTAGAGTCTTAAGTTCACATTTTTTTAAAGGAAGCTCTCTTTGAAGCATCCGGCTAACATTTTAGAAAATGTTCACTTTAAGTATTCTACATTGAAGAATCAAATTAGATTATTAAAAAAAAACTTACTGTTTTCACTAGAATTATTTTGGATCTCAAATCCTTCCTATTTCCATTAACCTGTAAGAGTATAATGATAATAAAGTTTGTTCATTTTTTTTTATTATGGGCTAGTTGTGTTTTTTTTTCATTTCATTCATTTACTATGTATTTTATTTCCTTATAGTTTCTCTTAAAAGAAAAGCATGTTTCTTAAGCACTTAGCTCTGCATGCCCTTTGAATATGAGGCAGTCCAAGTAATTAGATGTTATATGACAATGAACAGAAACCAAAAGATTTTATTTTTTGAAAGCAGGTGACAATGAGCTTTCACCTGAAGGGGAGCACGCCAATATGGCCATTGACCTCACCTCAAGCACACCCAATGGACAGCACGCCTCACCAAGTCACATGACAAGCAGTAAGTCTTCATTTTATGTTTTTTTTTTTCTTTTAAATTCTCAAGTGAGAGATTTGAACTTGTCAGGTCCGTGGGGTCTGCTCACTCTGTGGTATAGCTACTGCTGTAGCTTTTGCCAAGGAAAGAACAACCCAGATTTATTTCCGTTCATTCTAGTATCATAAACCATGAGCCTACTTGCTAGTGTGAACTATCCCAAGGTGGCGTTTGCGAGCTGGTGCTTACCTGTACCAGGTAAGGAATGTGAGGGTTTGCTTACTATTATTTCAGCTTCGATGTTCATACCTAGATTTATGTGTCATTTCCAAAGTCTTCTTCATAGATATGTGTGTGTGTGTAGAAGTAAATATATATATATATGTATATCTATCTATCTATATATATGTAGAAGTAATTTTTGCTGCCTTGGTGTGAAGCTAAAGCATCAGTAGTAGGATTGAAGTGTTGCTTGCTTTTTCAGAACATACGAGGCAGTGTAAAAGTCTCTCCCCCATAGGGTTAGAAGTGAAGTGTCATTGACAATGTGTGGAACTTGTTCATGTCCAGTTCTTTACACAGTGGAAAGCAGTTTGTTTTAGATTGTCCAGAAAAGAAGTAGCACTATTTGGAAGCATGTTTTGGGCTTGCAGGCATGCGCAGTTTTGGCTCTTTAGTGCTTCTGATACGGAATTTAATGTACATTGGTGAGTGTACCAGAAAGACAGTTGGCGTTCTGTCAGTGTCTGAGCAGAAGATGCTTTTATTTGTTAAGATTGTAGTTTGTCTCTTAATTAAAATGTTTTATCAGATTAGGTGCAAATGGTCTGCCACTCCTACTCAAAACAACCTGAGCTGTCATTTCCTTTGTAATTTGGGTATATGCTATAGTCTTAAGTAGAAAGAGCATGATTTATATTAAGTTTAGTTGAATTTACAACTTTTCTACTTAGGTGATATGTGAAGGAGACTATCTTTTCTTCTTTGGAGAGTTGATAACTGAAAAACTTAATTATGAACATATTAAATCAATTCTTGATATTTTAGAGAAATTCTCCTTTCAGGTACTCTCTTCTACCCTGACTTAAGTTATTGTAAAGCTAAAAACTTTGTAATTAGTGAGGACATGTGTGTTCTAAGCAAACGCTTACCATTTTGTACTTACTTAACTGCCTTCAATGATTTTAGCTGTTGACTTGAAATTCATTGAACTCTTTGACTTTACTTCATTTAAAAATTTTCTTTCTTTTTATGAATGAGGAAAACTTATTCAGAAAATTTTATTCTTGAGGTAGGCTATGAAATCCCTCTATGATGTAGAAAGGAAAAAAATGACGTTGTGGAGTGATTCATGCTGAATTATATTGTTAGTCTCTTGTGATGGGTCTTGTAGCACTTTTTGTTTTTGCTTATTGTTTTGAGAAAAGTTATATTACTGTAATAGTATATAGAGATTTTGTACTTTAATATTTAATGTTATTAGTACTTTGGTAGAATGTATTTTTATTTGTTAGAAACAAACTTTTTCATACAAAATATCTAGTAGGTCAAGGTAGATTTACAAGGAGTTTCTGTTGTATCCTAGTTAATCTCTAGCTACTGTTAAAAATATTTAGTATGTAAAATAGAGAGTAACTGTTGATAAGACTAACCTGTCACCCCTAGTCACCATGAGAAAATTTGCAAGAAAGTGCTTGCTTACTTAGTTGGATCTTTGTGATCTGCTTTTCTGATTGCTTCATTCAAAAAGGCATTTCCCTTCTGTTTTTAAATAAACATTGCAAAGTATGGAAATGGTTAAAGATTGCATTTTTTTTCACACTTGAGCTTTTCTCACCCAGCAACAGTAAAATGTAAGTTTGGTAATTGTGTGTGTGTGTGTGTGTGTGTGTGTGTGTGTGTGTTTTTTTTTAACTAGCCTGTGGCAATTCCATATTAGTACAGTTTTTGGCTAAGTTCTCTGTGTTTTTAGAGTTGTTGATTAAATATTTTGGCTCTCACTTCCGAGCTGTCTGTTACATCCTTTATGTAGCCTCTATTTACAGTATCTAGGTTACCCACTTAGGTGTTAGATGGAGAAGATACCCATTTTTCCTCTCTGTGAGATCTAGGAGAATATCAGCATTTTAGATTGCCAAGGCAAACAGAGTCTGAGAAAGACTCTTGTCTGTTAATTAGAACAGGGACCTAGAACTGGTCACTCAGATGTTTGTAACTTGGAATAAATTTTGTATGTGGGACCTGAAAATTCACTCCTATAAGATCACTTGTTTCTTCATCCATCTACACATGCCATTCACTTTGATAAACGAAAATAACATGTTCTCTGCATTAAAAGATAATCTCTGAATATATTTCGCGTAAGTTTACTTCTTCCAAATAAGGAATTAAAGTTTGGACTGGAAGTATTAAGGCTAGAAGTCAGTGTGAAAACTTTTCTGATAGGATAAGGTAGCGTCTAGTAGTGGGAAAGAGGGATCTATGTGTAAGAATGGGGAAGGATTCTATTTAAATAGCTTAAAGAAGGAAAAAATCCCCAAAATCCAATCCTCAATCTTTCATAAACTAGCATCCTGCCCACAGCACCAGTCAGGTATGATAGCCCACTTGCTCTGCCTTCAGGGGAGGGGTCAGTATCATTATAAGATACCGATCATCAGTTTAGTGACCTCAGTGAATAGTCTAAGATGAAAGTATCTGTACACTGGGTGCCAGCTAAGGCATAAAAACAATGATAGCAACTATCATTATTTGACAGTACTAGAATAGAGCAGGAACAACTTGGGGGAAAAAATGGAAAAGTGGTATCATGCCTGACAGATTTGGGTTTTAAAATGATGAATAAGATAACCTTCAAGGAAGTAACAGATATTAGTGATCTGGTCTTACAATGATTCCTTCCTGTGTGTTAGAGTGATTTTTCACAGAACACTTTAGACTTTTTCTTCTGGAATAAAGATCTCTTTGAGAGGAGGTTGGGCATCGTTGCCTAGGATCATTAGTGTCCATGTTGCATTTGCTGACAATCTTCGGTGACAGGGATGACAGTATGTGCTTTGACGGCTACTGGAAACACACAGTGTTAAGTGATTTTAGAAATAGAATCTGGAAGTTAAGAATCTGAGATAGACAATTCAGACAGAATAATATAAAAATAATCTGTCTCATGTTTTGGCCCGTGAAATGATACTTACCTTGTGCTTCCGTCTGTTTCTGGGTTAGCTTGTTCCCAATTCTTGTAACCTTGCCTGAGGATCAGTTTCCAACTAGTCTAAACTTACAGCTGACTTTTTAGCATTTAATTTTTAAAAAATGTATTTACTATAATTGATGTGTATGTATATGTACATGCTGTGGCCTGCATTGCAAGGCCACAGAAGAGTTGGTTGGAGTCAATTCTTTGCTTCCACTGGGTGGATCATGGGTATCGAACTCAGGCTGTCAGGCTTGGCAGCAATTCTTTTTGCCCACGGAACCATCTCACTAGTCTTTGAATATTTTTAAAGATTAAAGTTCATAGTTTTTCTTACATCTACTTTTATGCCAATAAATGCATTTTCGTGGCAGGTTACAACTTAAATAAGTATGAAAACACAGCGTGACTTAAACTTTGTTTCCATTACCATAAAGCAAGCCCCAGCTGTGCCGTCGTCACTACTGTTGATCAGTCAGCTTGATGACCAGGTGGCATGTATGGAATCGGGAGAAGTAGTCATTCTAGTTCTACAGGACTCTCACCAATAATGAGGTCAGGGAATCTAGTTTATTCTTTTCATAGCGTTTTACATTCCTTCTTTTCATAGCTGCTTTCCGTTTTTAGAACACAGTGAAGCAGACTTGTATTCCCAGCTCTATTTCTCACATATGAAAATTGAGGCTGGAAGGAACCAGTTGACCTCTTAAGCCACCAAATGAAGATAAAATTCTCAAGAGTTGGGATATTATTTTGAGAGTTGGTTAGCTAACTGTTGTCTCTGTCATGTCAGCCCATGATGGTGTCTGTTGTGTCCAGTGTTGGCCCATGTGTTAATGACAAAAAATCCCAAGCCAAACCAAACAAAAAAAAATTCCCAAAACCAAGCAGCATTTCAAAAGTAGAGGAGTATTGGTATGAAGATGGAGAAATGTCAATATCCTTGTAAAGCTGCCTTCCAATGTGATATGTACAATTTAGCTTATTATGGGATTCCCTGGCTTTCTGAGTTGTCTTCTACAGCTTAGTTTGGCAGTCATTCTTGGGTGCATTTCCACAGAGCACACCCTAATGTGACACTAGGGTAGTTGGATGTAAAGCCTAGCTGTTTGGACTCTTAGCAGTGAAGTTGATGTGTGTGTGTGTTTGTGTGTGTGTGTGTGTGTGTGTGTGTGTGTGTGTGTTGACATTTAATTCTCATTTGCCAGAAAATTTAAAACAACAGCAAAAAGCTCTGACTTACTGTCTTCACACTATCAGAGCTAAGTTTCATGACTGCATCAAGAAAACAAGTGCAAGTGTATGTTTGCAGGTAACTGATAGCACAAACCATTGCGTTTCTTCCTCTGCACCTCGTTCCAGCCTGGCTACTCCATTTCTTTTTATTATGTAGACTACATAGAGATGAGAATGAAGGTCTTTCTGGAAAAAACAAGACAATTCTCTGTAGAAAGATTATGTATCTGTGTTGAACTCTGTCTCTCCTACTTGAAGTACTTTTTCCCCTCTTTTGAAGTGTAACATGATTGATTAAGTTCACTGGGAATGTTCCTATAAGCCATCATGCAGGAAGACCTTGGGAGCCAATGCTTTTCTTCCCTCTTGATACATTGATATATTTTGAATTTTGATATATTTTGATCTTATGATAACTATGGAAAATAAGTGTCACAGTCCAAATATGAAGCAAAACACGTTACTTTACTTTTTATGTTTTTATGTGTACATTAGTCTGATAATATTTTCCTTTTGTGAAGAGATACTTGGAATATCTATACTTTGAAACTGATAAGAATATTTAGGAATGTTTATGAATTTCTTTTTCCTTACA